CAGCTCTGCCAGTGCCTGCAGTCTCTCTGTTCCTGGAGTCCCCTGTCCCCATGCAGCCCTGAACCTGGCAGCTGGTCCGTGGCCCCACCGCCATGCAATATCTGCCACCCCTGCCCTCTCACCCCATGCAATACCTGCCCTCGATGACCGTGATGATGTCGTTCATCTGGATGTGCAGCTTGTCGGGCTCCTCAAAGTCCTGCAGTGCCCTCATGTCTGTGGGCTGGGCCTGGGGGGAGAGGGGGATGAGGACAGGGAACACAGCCCCCCACATCATCCATCCCTGCCCCATCTTGAGGCCAGGCCCAGCCCCATGCAGGGCAGAGGAGGACCAAAAATGGGCAAGAGACAGCATCACCACTCCGAGACCCTCCTCAGCTGTGACATCCCCAGGGTGGGCGAGGGCAAGGTAGCACCTGGGGTCCTCCTGCTGTGACCATATCACTGCTCGTCACCTCCCAGCTTGCATGGCTGCCTGGCCTGAGACCCTCAACATCACCTCCCTCCTCAGCAATACCCTTAACTCTGCCCATGCTTGATCAGAGCTCGTGGAAGGGGGTGCTGGGGCCCCTGTCCCCCTCCTTGCTCACCCACCTCCACCAAGAAGTCCCGTAGGGCCACGAAGGTGGGTCGGTCCTCAGGCTTGTGTGCCCAGCACTGCAGCATGACATTGTAGACATCCTGGGGACAGTCCTCGGGTCGTGGCAGCCGCTCGCCCTCCTTGTCTATCTTGTGCAGGATCTGCAGGGCAGGGAGTGCCATCAGAGGGTCCCAAGTCGTGTGTGTCCCCCCCCCAAGCCCTGCCAGGGTCAGGTGTTCCCCCCAAGCCCTGCCAGGGTGAGGTGTGCATGGGGGGGGTGGCAGGTCCCTGCTGTGCACTCACCTGGCTGCCGTTGAGGCCGATCCAAGGCTCCTGCCCATAGGTGAACATCTCCCAGAGGGTCACCCCGAACATCCAGGTGTCACTGGCATGGGAGAAGGTGCGCGTCTTCAGGCTCTCAGGAGCACACCTGTGCAGGGAAGGACATGAGCATCACGAGGTCATGGGTGCTGCACCCCCAGGTCCCCCCCTCCCCAGGGCTCACCAGGCGAAGGGGACCTTGCGATGCTCCTGCATCACGTAGTGGTCATCATTTTTGGGCAGGGCTCTCATCAGCCCAAAGTCCCCGATCTTGACCAGCTCGTTGGAGGCCAGCAGGATGTTGCGGGCAGCTAGGTCACGGTGGATGAAGCGCTTGGACTCCAGGTAGGCCATGCCCTTGGCCACCTGGATGGCGTACTGGCAGAGGGTGGAGATGAGGAAATGGCCCTGGTTCTTCCGCAGGCGGGAGGGAGCCCAGCGGGGCCAGCTCTGTCACCTGGACCATGGTGACAGCAGGTCGGTCAGGCCAAAGGGTCTCTGGTTTGGCTGGTTTCCAGCTACCTTTTGCCCCACTGGGGATGCCAGCAGAGGACTCAGGGTACGGACCCAGCTTGGCTTTGCTCACCCCATCATGCAGGACTCCCCATGGGGCGGCATCACGGTTGGGCCCCATCCCCCCACACTCACCATCTTCATGGGGTGGGAGAGCACCACGCCGTAGAGGCGGATGAGGTTCCTGTGGTCCAGGGAGTGCATGGCATTCACCTCCCGGATGAAGTCGTCCAGTGCCTCTGGCTGGCTCAGCACATCCGTCTTGAGGCACTTCACTGCCACGTTCAGCTACGGCCAAAGCGGGGATGAGCCCCGAAGTGTCTTACCCCCGCGGTGGTCCCACTGTCTGGCTCCCCCCCCGCCAAGAGCAGCCCCTACCCGGTGCCCCCCTCGCCACGACGCACGACGCCGAAGGAGCCATCACCCAGCTTCTCAAAGAGTGAGAGGTCCCGCTCCCGCACGAGGCAGGTGAGGGAGTGCTGGCCCCCAGCTTCGGGGGGCGGTGGCGTGGGGGGCTTGCGGAAGGTGCTCTGGGGCTGGGGCGGCAGCTCTGACTCAGGGCGCTTCCCGCTGAACACCTGTGGGACGCGGAGGTAGGTGAAATGCAGGCATGGCGACACCCCAAGCTCTTGGGTCTGCGAGTGAGCAGTGCTGGGATGACCCCCTGCCTGGGCTGTACACTCTGGAACCTAATGATGACCCCATACCGACTACTCAGGGCAGGCTGGCTGCAGGAGCAGGCTCTGCTTGCTGAGCTATGATTCGTGTGGAGGGAAGGGGTTGTGCCTCTCACAGCAGCCCTGCAGCGCATTTCCAGCAGCCCCAGCAAACCAGGCCGGTAGCTGGAGGGCCCTGGGCGCTCCTTGGCTGGGCTGCGGCCACACGATGTGCCTGGGCACAAAGCCAAGAGAAACCTCCAGCTTGAGCCAAGTGTGGTGACACATCCCTGCAGCGATGTGGGCCTTGCAATATGCACCGCCACCACCACCACCAACCCAGAAGGGACGTGGAAGGGTTCTCCCTCACTCTCCCCCAGCCAGGACTGATGATGTGCCCCACAGGACAGGGTCCATCCCAGCCTCAGCAGCCAGGACCTGTGCAGGGTGCACGGGGGCTGGGCCCAGCATGCGGTTGGGGTGGGAGGTGGCATTTCTGCGCCCGGTAGAAGGCTGAGTAGCCTTCTATTAAAAGCCTGTCCTGTCCCCGTCCCAGCCCAGATGAGTCACACAGGGGAGAGGCCATGCAGTGCCCAGCTGGTAAGTGCCCTCCTCTTTTGGGGGTGCAAGGTGCCAGGGGGTGCCAGCGATGGTAGCAGCACCAGCTTTCGATGGGGATAGCAGCAGGGGCATATGTGAGCATCCCAAGGTCCCCTGCTCTGATGCACCCCCAGCCTGCAGGCATAAGGCTGTGTCCCCTCACCACGAGGCAACAGGGTGGGCAGGGGGCTGGGCAGTGCTGCTGCCCACAGAGCTAGCTGTGGCAAATGCACAGGCTCCATGGCTCATCAGCTTCAAATGAATTTCCTGGCAAAGAGGCAAATAACACAAGGGGAATGAATGAACTTCCCAAGTTCCGGGGTGGCAGGGCCATCCTTTGCTGGTAAGTGACCTGGGAGCCTGCATGGGACCGGGGCACAGGCTGGCAGAGTCGTGCTGCAGGCAGGGCATGCATGGCAGGGGCTTCTGCCCATCTCCCTGCCAGCCGCCAGGGACCAGTGGTGTGGGGAGAGCCAGGCACCAGGGCAGAGCACAGGGAGAGGTCCAGCTCCTCCTGCCTGCCTCAGTTTCCTTGCCACACCTGCCCGTCTCCCATCCCTACCTTGCTCATCCAGGATTTCCGCTTGCACATGGCTTTCCTCCGCTTCACCGCCTCCCACAGCCGCCGCTGGCCTGTAGGACACAGTGACTGTCACCGACCCGGCACTGGGTGGGGGTCCCCTTCATCCCCAGGGACTGCATGCTCCTCTGGGCTCCCCAAAAGATGCTATGAAGCCAGCTAGGGATACAGGGGGAGATCTGGGGGTGGGGTACATACCAGGGCGCCCCATGCCAATCTTCTCCAGATCCTCATTTTTGACGTACTCGAAGTGGGAGAGGCGGGTGACGTTGAGCTCATCCCGGATGCGCAGGAAGTACTGCTGCAGCTGCAGCTCGGTGAGCAGCTCCAGCAGCCAGTCCGTGCCTTCCTCTGCCTGCATGCTACAGCTCAACCTCTGCTGGGACACCACACTGGGTTAGGGGGGAACCTGCCCTGCTCCCCTCTGCCCCATCCCCTGGGGGAGTCACCTGGAGGGGCTCAGAGCTGAGGCTGGGTAGGGTGTGAGAGATGCTAGTGGGACTCATCTCCTGAGCCTGTCCCCAGCTCCCCGGCTGGGGTGGGGAGAAGCACCCCATCAGAAGGACACCCTGCTCTGCCCTGTTGTGCCGCTAGAAACACGAGCCCACCCCTCCACTTCAGCACAGGCTGTCCCCAGGCAGTGGTGCCAGGGACACCGGAGGGGGCAGAGCCTCAGGACGGACATGCCTGGCAGTGGCCCCCAGCCAAGGGGCACCCCACAGCCTGGCACTGCACCTGCATAGGGGGCACCCCACACCTGGCACCATGCCTGCCAGGCTCCCTTTGCCCGGCTGAAGGGGCTGACCGGGGAGGGGTCAGCTGTCCCCAGCAGGGACAGCCACCTCGGCACTGCCACTTGGCCCCCCGGCATCCCCGCACAGCTGGCTGGACTGTGGCACAGACCCACGGCCGGTCTCCTCTGCCACGGGTGGGGACACGTTGTTGGGCACTCACAGGGAGGGGGCAGACAGGCACATCAGGGCCTCTGGGGGGTCTTGGTGAGCCAGGGCTGAGGCACAGGGGCACCCCAGCACTGCCAGTGTCACCCCTCCTCGCTGTGCCAGGGTACGGGGAGGGAGAGGATGGGGCCAGGTCTCCCCATGCCCCTCGCTGCTCCCCATCCCTGCCCGCT